CGGGAGGCGGGAGATGGGCAGGCGTGTCGTGGGCGGTCCGGCCCCCACGCTGTTCTAAAAGCGAAGCGAGCCCGGCGGCCCCGGGCCACTCCAGGCGTCACATTGTGCAACGTGTCTGCCTGTTTACACGCACACGGCCGCGATAAAAACCGACAAAACCAAGACAGGCCTCCTGCAGATCCCATGCAGCCGACCAGGCAGCACATCGGAGCAGGACGCGCACATGCATGTACACACATGCACATGGACACATACATGTGGGTGGACACATGCATGTGCACACATGTACACAGGCATCAACCCTCTAGATTAGGGGTGGGGCAGGCACGTCTGCCCTTCGCCGATTTCTCACGCCCAGCTGCCGACAGGCAGACATGACTGTCTTCCCAAGTCCCACCCAGGAGGAGGAGGTGAGAAAGTGCTTACGTTCAGCCTGGCCAAGGAGACATGCCCGTCCAGGCCAGCGGGCAGCCAGGAGAGGAAGGTGGGAGAGACGGGGCGCAGGGGAACCCGCAAGCAGCACTAGAGGCGCGTCGTGGAGCCCAAGGCAGCCAGACGAGGACGGCCGTCTCCTCTCCTCTTGGTTAATCTCAGGGGAATGGAAGTGCAGGCCGAGAGCTTCCAGGAGACAAGGCCTGCCCCCAGGAGCTGGGCGAGGGGAGGAGGGAGGGCGCTGACTCCTGGCTGCCCGGTGATGAAGGTCTCACAGACACCCGGCTTCAAGGCCTCCCTCCCAGGCCAGACGGAGCCGCCACGGCCACCAGGAAGGCGGCTGGCTGTGGGGCTCCCGAGTCCGGAAACACCAGCCCACTTCCTCCTGCCCTCGCTGCGGGGAAGCAGCACCCGGCACCCGCGGCCAAGCCCCACGTGGGCACCGTGCCAGGGGGTGGCCGCTACCACCAGCTGGGAGCCAGGCATCTCTTTTGAAACATGGACGAGCCCAGGCCGGCCTCGGCGATGGGAGAATAGCTGGTCCCCCGGTGACTGATGAGCCAAGAACTCCTGACTGGGCTACGATTTCTCACCAGCGTGTTTTACTTTGTTTTTAAATTGATTTCAGGGAGGAAGGGAGAGAAAGAGAAAGAGAGAGAGACACATCCATGGTGAGAGAGAATCATGGACCGGCTGCCTCCTGCACGCCCCACACTGGGGATGGAGCCTGCAACCCGAGCATGTGCCCCGACCGGGAATTGAACTGTGACCTCCTGGTTCATAGGTGGACGCTCAACCCCTGAGCCACGCTGGCCGTGTCTTCGGCCGTAGCCGGACTGGCTCAGTGGATAGAGCGTCAGCCTGCGGACTGAAGGGTCCCAGTCAGGGCACAGGCCCGGATTGTGGGCTTGATCCCCAATGTGGGGCATGCAGGAGGCAGCCGATCCATGATTCTCTCTCATCACTGAAGATTCTCTCTCTCCCCCTCTCTCTTTAAATATATTTTTAAAATAAAATAAACATGTGTCTTCCTTGTGGTGACAGGTACACCGTGAAATGGACGCTCTTATCTCTAAGTGTGCAGAATAGCGGCACGAGGAACATTCGTGCCCTCGGAGCCACAAAGGACCAGGAGAGCAGGAGGCCCCGTCCCCTCCTGGCAAAGGCCTCCCGGTGATCGGAGAGGCAGCCCTCCATTCCCTTCACGAAGGGCGAGGGCGCGGCTGGAGACGGTCACCTTCGCTCCATGACGCTAAGGGACTCGAACAATCCACTCACCACCGAAGGGATGCCCAGGGCTTTCCCCGGGGAGAGCAGGAGGGCGTCATAAACCAGATGACAGCTAAATGGGACAGACAGGACCAGGCGGGTGCGGGTGTGTGTGTGTGTGTGTGTGTGTGTGTGTGTGTGTGTGTGAGAGAGAGAGAGAGAGAGAGAGACACCCTCATGCATTTGCAGAAAAGCCTGCCGCCTGGAAGCAAGCTCTCAGCCCGGAGGAGGGATGCGGTGCCCACACGCTCCAGGTATGACCCCAGCTC